AGGCAAGGTATGCTACATATCTTCAATATCTACAAAGTCTTTCTCCGTCTTAAACATTTGTACACGATCATACAACATTAAAAATAGAACATTTTTTTAAATATTTGACAATTGGCAACGACGTCTCCTCTTTTTCGTTTAGCTTAAAGTTTTGGGGCTTTGTACGTAACATATACAATACTGAACTCGTGTCATGCGTTGGCTTTAAACCTTTGAACAATAACTAGGCAACAGTAAGTATCGTGGACTATGTCGTAATCATTCTGCCCATTCCACTTAATGACATTAAATCTGAATCTAATAACATTAAATGATTATCGACCATCAAGTCTGTCTGTAGTTGCCCCGGTAACCAACAGTGTACCGGGAATATTCACCCTTCTCCCATTCCCAGAATGCATAGCGCCATGGGTATATACACGGTATACAGTTAAAGGGCATAATATTAATGCACTAATAATTGGAATATTTTAATTTTTAAAAATCCAGTGCTTAAAATCAACATCCACTTTTAACATATCTGTGCAATTAGCTCACATTTCACATACATACGGATGGCGCCAAAACAGCCCACACCAGAAGTGCTCAGTTTGTGGTGCCACCACAAACTATTAGAATGCTAACAAACATGTCTGACAGCTATGTTTTCAGATTTTAAATTTTAAACACACTCGTAAGGCGTCATAGTTTGACATCCCCACATCTTAAATGACACATGGAGTAGTGACAATGACAAGAAATTTTTTTTAATACTTTATAAATATTCAAACTTTACAAATTCGTTCGATTTTCTATCGATAAAAGTTTGGTATCTGCTCTTGCGTCTACCTTTAAAGAACCCACCACACTTGGAGTAGGGGCCCTTCCCGATGTGAGTGGTTCAAGCCTACAGTACGTACCATCTTAGAAAGGTTACAGTCACCTGTTAGTGCTACGTCAATTCTTGTGTGGTAAATCTCAATAAATAAATAAATAAATAAATGATTGAATTAATAAATTCCATGCTATTTGATTGCCACCCCAGACTAGGACCACACTAGGACCCCGTTCAGACTAGACTTATATTAAGCGGTTTAAAACCGGTTTTAATTAGCCTAGTGTGAACGCAAAGCAACCTGTTTTTTAAGGGTTTAAATCAGATTTTCAAAGACCACCTCGGGAGGTGGTGTTTGAGGGTTTTCTTTCACCGAAAAACCTGGTCTGAATGCTTTTAGCCGGGTTTCCCACGCTAATTATTTAGTGGTTTCGACCGGTTTTTAAAAGTCTAGTCTGAACGGGGTCTAAATGATTGACATCCTCTTGCCGGCTAGCCAGGCCCTGGTTGACTCGGTGGCCTGCTCGATGGGTGGCAGGTCCGGGTTCGACCCGCGCTTTTTCCGCACCAGGTTGTCCGGTATACTGGCTCTCCGGTAGTACGTAGCTACAGGGAGGACAACGGAAATATTTCGTATTAGCATCCTTCGCAGACTTGTCGGGCCTCGGCGTTATTACCTCCATGAAAAATGGACGTATTTTTTTGGCGTGTGTGTGTGTGTGTGTGTGTGTGTGTGTGTGTGTGTGTGTGTGTGCGTGTGTGTTTCCGCACATTTGTAGTCAGCATAACTTCAGAACGCCTTTATGGATTGTGATGATATTTGGTATGCTGGGAGGTCTTAGGAAGCCAAAGGCCTCCTGATGGCTGACCATGGTACTGCAGCAGAACTTTTTTTCGCAAGGCAGGGAAAATAGATGTGCGGGTATGCAACAAAACACCAGCATACGCGTCGAGTCAGCGCGCCTGATTAATGAGGTTCTCCCTCTGGAATAGGCTACATGCACACTTTTATTACAGCCTGACCTATTTCAGGCCAAAGGTTTGAAAACAAAAACCCGTGTTATATTGTTCTGTACTGTAGTGTACTGTGTGAAAACATTTACAAATTCATACATTTCATGGAGGTATGAGATCTTCGAATTTTCCGATATTACTCCGAATTCGAGTAATATGTCGCGGAGGGACGATGTTGCTGCCGAGAGAGTTTTTGCCGTGAAGAGAAGGTTGGAGCGTGAAACCTTCTCTCCACGGCAAAAACTCCCCCGGCGGCATATCGAAACAGGAAGGCACAACCGTACATCTCTGGTGCAAAGAATTTGCCAATTTTGTAGCTCAAACAAAGTAGAAAATGAAGTTTTGTCGTTGGTTGTAGTTTATATAGTAATGATAGAAATTATCTTTTTAGATATATTACAAATACATTTCCATACTTCCAATACTTGACTAATATTGACAAAATTATCTTTCTTATGCGCTTTGATCATTCTGTATTAAACAAACATATTTCAAATTATATTTTTAACATCACAAAGAAAAGAGAAGAAGCCGAACCTCTGTATTATTGTAGTTTAGAGCTGTCTGTACTACAAACATGTATATTACCTTTTCATCTGTTCACATATACTTAGCCCGATAGGGAATGAATGTACAATAAAGGTTATTATTATTATTATCTGGATAATAGTTATATCAAGATACTGTAATATGTTAGGAAAAATTCAACAGAATGCAATGAATATTTAGTTAGAATGATCTAACGATGCAGCATGCAATTGGTACACCCTGATCTTGAAATAGCCGTAAGACCACAGCAAGTAGATTTTATAGATGGCATCCTCCGCAGATTCCAAATCTAATGCGAGCGGGCAAAAAAAAAGGCGGGCCGAAAAAAGAGGTTCCTACAATTTCAAATTTTGACTCAATCATTGTACAAATGGTTTTAATTCAATAGGAACATCACATATACACAGTCAGCATCACTGCATCAAAGTAAGAAACAAAACATTAAATCAGAGCCTTTTCTTAAGCTTGTCTCCTCTCTTCATAGTTATCTGCCATGCACCTTCCGGCATGACAAGAGACATCTTAGCCCATTTTTCATTATGTTGATCACTGTCAGAGGCTAGGGCAACAACATTTCGTTTTTTTTTCCACAATCAGGCGAAAATTAATGCGCGCGCTGATGTCATCCATAAAAATGACTTGCTGTGGCCAAAGTAAGAAATGGCCTTCCTTACCTATAAGTGGGTCCATTTTGACGGGTAAGTCGCAGCCCAGTGATGTGGTGGTGTTGCCGGCGTAGGCAGACTGCAGGAACGGCGCCAGGTGCCCCTTACTGAAGTTCCTGTTCTTGTAGTTCGGTTCGCCAACTGGGACCGTCACCTGGGTTTGCACATATAGACAGCAAATTTAAAGCACAGAGAAGTCCAGAAAATGAATAACGGGAAGTATTTGCGTATATTAATGATATAGATAGTTGATTTTTCGTTAATCGAAACAACCCGGCCGGGGCCCGGTTTGGAAATGTGACCTCAGCATAACGACAGCCGAACTCGCTGCCGACCTATTCCCAACCATGGTTGTGGGGAGGTCGGCAGTGTTCGGGAGGCCACATTCGGCTATATAGCCGAATGGTTGGGAATAGGTCGGCAGCAAGTTCGGCTGTCGTTATGCTGAGGTCACATTTCCAAACCGGGGCTCGGCCAGGCTGTTTCGATTAACAAAAAATCAACTAGTTTTATCATTAATATAAGCAAATACCTCCCGTTATTAATTTTCTGAACTTTTTTGTGCTTTGTTGTCTTTTATATCATACTTTTCGCTCTATATATAAGACTACCCGGCCAGGCCCCGGTTTGGAAATTTGACCTCAGCATTAGCGATGACAATCTTGCAACCAGTTCTCGAGTTATCCTCCGTCTAATACATTTCAAACAAACGCTACCTGCAATTCTAGAACAACCTGCTAGGTGGCCCTAACGCATGTCCCTTCTTCCCACAGCACAAGAGATTTCTACCATTAAAATTCATGGCCAGTATGTCCAGATCACGAGGAATCAAAAGTGGAAGTTCCGCTGCAGTACCATAACAAGCTGATGGGAACCTGACACCTACATATTTTGAGGTATCATCAGCACCTACTATGACAATTCATTTTATCTTTTTTTTTTTTAGTTATCGTGCTACACACATGCATACATACAAGAACACTGATTTGATTATATGGATGACATCCTCTGGGAACCCCAAAACTGATGCGCGCGTGCGAATGAAAAAAAAAGTTTGGCAAAAAAAGTTGCTGTCATCATGAAATCTACGTGGTCATGAAGGTTGAATAATTGACACAGAGTATTGTATTACGAATAATCTCTCTACTCTTCAAGTTCATTTCTTTACATTTTTGTCTTTTTCATTTGATTTTGGCATTCTACGACATTGGTATCGTTTTCCGATATTTTTCTTGCAACTTATGGTAGATATTTTCCAACTGTTTTGTACGATTTACAGTTTGATTGAAAACATTTTTTTTGGAAAACGACCGAAAATTTATGCGCGCGTGGATGTCATCCATGTAATCAAATCAACATGGCCTAATATAGCCTGGTATCCAGTCTAATCGTGGTCGGGGCCACAAGAGCTCTGTCCCCCCCGCCTCACATAGGTTTCCCGGTGTGTATTTCACGAGAGATTGATTAGCGTGTTGGGGGAAACCAAATCCCACCCCAAAGCATACTGTCTCTTATTAGCGTAACATTCCTACCGGGACGGTCTGTTGCACTGGGCGGGGGAAGCTATTAGAGCCCCCGAAGACACAACGTTAACCTGCCTGAACACCCCAATACCCCCAATCACGTAAGACTGGATACCAGGCTAGGCCTAATGAGACCTTATGCGGAAATAACCAACCGACCTTATAGACCCGGACGCACATGTTGTACTTGCCGCCGCCCTCACACGAGCTGTAGATGACCTTGCGGCTGAAGGTTGCCGGGATGGGGTAGTTCCCCTTCCGCGAGATCCTGCTCACGTCCCGCGGTCGGACCACCAGTTTCTACAAACAGCATAAAGTCAGTGTACTTCAGGGCTGTTTTATTGTAGAAGATAAATCTGATGTAACAGGCTCAATTTTTTAATATCTATAAAACGTACTTTCTTATATCTATCTATCTATACATATATATATATATATATTTATATATAGAGAGAGGCAGTTACCATTATGGAATTATAACATTTTCTCATTAATTATGTAAATTAAGTGTTAATTTACATAATCATTGTCTGCCTGTGTTTCTCTTGATCTAAAGAGAAAAGCGTCACTTAAGCGTCACTTAAGCTACCTACATACCAACAATTACGACGATCTGTCAACCGGTTCTTGAGTTATCTTCTTTTGAATATTTTTAAAGAAACGCCCCTGCAGTTCTAGAGCAAGCCGCTAGGGGTCCCAAACCTACGTCACGTCTTCCCCAGCACAAGAGCTACCTACCAACCAAATTTCGTCACCCTAGCACGTCCAGATCAGATCAAAACCGGAAGTTCCGCTGCAGTACCACAACAAGCCGCCAGGGGGCCCAAAATCTAATAATTTCTAGGTCTCATCAAGACCTACGGTGACCTACCCACCTATCAAGTATGAAGACAATTTATTTAAGCTTTCTCGAGTTATCGTGTTTACAGACGGACAAACACACAGACACTCACACGAACGCCTCTGAAAACATAACCTTCTTGACGAAGGTAATAAAACGGCTTAAGACTTTCACTGACCTGTTCGTAGTCCAGTCCGCAGCTGTTTCCGGCGTCGAACAGGTCCAGAGCGATCCGGCTGCCCATCCAGACGAAGAAGCCCTCGTTACAGCCGTTATTGTGCAGCAGGAAGGCCAGACGGGCCAAGTTCGACCGCACGCTCTTCGGCTGGGCGCCTCGCTTCCCCTACAGATACGGACACGCAAGGTTCAATAGTGACGCTGGCAAAATGAGCTGCACAATTTTCGAAATATTTGTAGACATTATGGTGAATGAGAAAAGGACACAGTTACCAACTCACAATACCTAAATATTTTATGGCAAAATTTAAAAAAAAGTGATGCCAGGCCATGCAATTTTTCCTTTTAGTGAAGAGTTACTTTGAATTGTCTCGAATAGGATTCAACCAAGGAGTTTAACCTCCTTGATTCAACCAATTGTGTTTACGGCCCAATTCGGCTCAATGCGAATAGCTTCGTCATGTCTTATTATTAATATTCGTGACCCAGCGTTGGTTTCCCGCAAATTCTGCCATTTCTTCCGAGGCTGTGGCGAATAACAATGTCTGCTGTTTTTCTCGTCCTTCGCCGTCTTTCACGATGCCACCGAGAGAAGGAACCCAGTGGACTGAAGAAATTCCGGTATTCATCTGTATCTACCAGGAACGAGAACGGTGTCAAGAAACCGCAAGGTATTTGAGGAAATGGCCACCGAGCTCGCCAAGCTAGCCGAATTAAACGGCTCAGTGTGTACGCAACCAAATTGAATTGAATTGACTCGTTTCGAATTGACTCGAAATGCAAGTGGCTAGTGTGAACCGGGCCTTTGTTTCCGGATCGAAGCCCGATCAAAGCTAGTCAGTCCGACTTGGATCCGGTGGATCAAAGCGAATTGATTCGGCTATAGCTAGATCCGGACAATTCTATCCCAGAAAAGGACCTTTGATACACACTGCTTATTATAATTATTGTAATGTTTTATGGGGTCTTACTGACAGAGTTTGTAATAGTCTTATCTGTTACGGTAAAAATTGCATGTCCCGGCATCACTTCTTGTTTCATTTGGACAGTATTTCATCGTGATATTTGCTGCTTTCATTCATTCATATAACACGTTATATGGTAATGTTTTAGACACAAAAGAAAAAAAAAAACAACCACTGAACCACCGATCGAAACAAGAATTCAGACATCTCAGACCTGCATGAAATATTTAGGTATTGTGAGTTGGTAACTGTGCCCTTTTCTCATTCACCATAATGTCTACAAAATCTTTCTTTCAAAGGAAACAACACCAGCTGTCATCTGTCAAGGAGGTCATGTAACGAAAAACACGTGAAAATAGCGAGCGCTAACAAACGTAGATGCGGTGTCTCTCTCCCTCTGGGGTAGACTGAACCCAACCATAATATCCTACCTAACCTAATACGGACAATGTGAACAACACTCGCTCACACACAGGCACACACAGACACACAGACACACACACACACACACACACAAACACACACACACACACACAAACAGGCACACATACACACAGGCACACACTAACACATGTCATACCAAAAACAATACCTCCAGTTTTAATGGAGGTAACAACCACTGGTCCACTAAAGCTACAGCATATTAAATTTTATGGATGACATCCTCCGCAGACTCCAAATATAATGTGAGCGGGCGAAAAAAACAAGTCGGGCCGAAAAAACAGGGCTCCTACATTCTCAAATTTTGACTCAATCATTGTACAAATGTTTTTGATTCGGTAAGAACATCATATATACACAGTCAGCATCACATATCACTGCATCAAAGTAAAAAAAAATTGAATCAGAGTCTTTTCTTGTCTCCTGCCTTCATAGTTATCTGCCATTCACGTTCCGGCATGTCAACAGACATATTTATCTATTTTCGGCATGTTGACCACTGTCAAGGGGCAACAAAATTTCGTCTTTTTTCCAAAATTAATGCGCGCCCTGATGCCATCCATAAAAATTACTTGCTGTGGCCGCAAAGCTGGATTCCCCCTCACACAGACGCAATGTCGCATCCCTATCCCTCTTATACAGATACTTTCACGGTCGATGTTCAGGAGAACTTGTACTTCTTGTTCCGCCGCTCAGAACCTTTCAGCGTGCCACTAGGTTCTCTTCCAGTTCTCATCAATACACCGTTAACATACCTGTCTCCAAGTCATTTTACAGCAACAGCTTCTTTCCCCGAACTGCAAAATTACGTAAGTCTCTTCCAAACAGTTGCTTTCCGTCCGACTACAATCCACAAAGCTTCAAAACAAAGGTCCACCGCCATCTCCTGACATAACTACATTATACTCACTTTAGTGCCTCTAGCTCTATGCCTAGAAGTGGTCAAAAATAATTGACCTTGCATTGAGCTGCACCGTTAAAAAGACGTGAACACAGACACAGAGGCGGGGCCTCGCGCTTACGTTCTTGATCTCGAGGACTGTTGGCGGGAAGGTCTGATCGTCCGTTGCGCCCACAGCCAGGTCCACCGTGCAGTCCGTGTTGAGCAGGGAGTGTTCGTAGTTCACCATGATGTTTGTCTCCGGGCTGAGGTGGCTCATCGTCTCGTACAACTTCCACTGCGCAAAAGGAGAAAAAAACTTGTTAATAATAACAATAACAACAACAACAAAAATATTTATAACAAGAATAATAATAAGAACAATAATAATAATAATAATAATAATAATAATAATAATAATAATAATAATAATAATAATAATAATAATAATAATAATAACAATAATAATAATAATAATAATAATAATAATAATAATAATAATAATAATAGTAATAATAATAATAATAATAATAATAATAATAATAATAATAAATTTCCCCTGTAACAACAAAATATTCATTATAAGAAAACAAAATTGCGCAAAAGGGGCAATTATAAATCACTGTTGTAATAGCCAGGTACATAATCGGTACATATCTTTATCTTTCTATTCATCTATTTATTTATCTATTTCAGCTTTATCACAGTAAGGTTCATGTAAAAGGACAATGGGAAACAGAATATTTATTTTGTGTAACAACAAAATATGAATGATAATAAAACAAGACTTAGTGCAGTCAGTAACGGAACGGAACAGTGACGGAAAATAAAAATGGACATAGAGACATATCCTTGTTTGTTGATGCATGTATATACTAGTACCAGGGGGGGGGGTCCACAAGGCTCAAAGGTCCACTTTTTGGTCCACTTTTTATGTAAAGGTCCAAGATTTTTCTTGAAAAGATGGACTGGAATCGTAGAAAAACTGCTCCCTTTGTCATTGAATAAAATTTATCTCTGATTTTTTTCTTTGAAATCCTCTCGAAAACCCACGAAATGCCATTTTAGAAGGTTCATTTTTCAAAATTTTCCGGGGGAGCATGCCCCGGACCCCCTAGGAACCTCGTGCCTTCGGCACTCGCTGGGCCCTCAAGCAGTGGGAAGAACCCCCCCCCCTTCAAAATCCTGGTTACGGGCATGTGGAGGTCACTGACCTCCTTCACGGAGCAACACACTAACTAGCAAACAAACAGATGAGTTCACCTGCATGAAGTTCTCATCCCTCAGCAGGTTCCTCTTGTAGCAGGTGCTCTTTCCGTTCAGCTTCTCCTGCAGCTGTTTACAGGACCGGATCACCATCTTCTCGTTACTGACTTCTGCGTCCATTTTTCTCTATGTCAAGAAAATGGGTGAAACAAACAAAAAAAGCGTCGTTTTTTTTCTAACGGAGTAGTTCAATGCAAGGCCTATGCGACCACTTCTCGGCATTGAACTAGAAAGATGAGAGAAACATGGCTGTCAAGAGATGGCGGTGAACGTTTGATTTGAAAGCCTGTAGATTGTCAGGGAGGGGATTCGAAAGCTTCGCCGTACGGGGAAATAAGCTGTCACTGTAAAAAGATTTCGAACAAGGAATTTGGACGTTATCAGATGTATGTCATGCATCAAAGCCAAGGGTCCTCCCTGCACCTATATAAAGTATATAGGGCGACGGCAATCTCCGTTTTTGTAGCCCTTGTGTCACAAACTGTGGAATCACTGTGGCTACCTTATTCTAGCCAGAGCCTATGAACAATGTGGGGTCGTGTGGCGCAACGGCAGCGTGCGCGACTCGGAATCAAGAATTCCTGGGTTCGAGTCCTGGCATGCCACTGATCTTGTGTCCTTGGGAAAGGCACTTTACACGACTTTCCTCACTTCGCTCAGGTGAAAATGAGTATTGTATTGTCCCCTGTGTTGATGACGGCATTAATATAAGTTGAAAAAAACTTGAGTGTGCCGTCACCACGTCTTGTGATTAGATGTTGGAATATAAAAAAATAATTAAAAAAAGCGTCATTCTCAGATGTATGTCATGCATCAAAACCAAAAGTCCTCCCTGCACCTATATAAAGTATATAGTCCGACGGCCATATCTCCCGTTTCTGTAGCCCTTGGGTCACAAAGATGTGGAATCACTAAAAGGGTCCCGTTCCACTCTATGCAGAGCATAGGGATGGTGCCCATCTCCATTTCCCCTGGGTGACACACAGTTGTGCAGGGCACTACAGCAGGGGGTGGTCCGCTGGTAGTGCTGTGTGTTTGACCTTCCCACACTATTTCTCCTATGTGCTGAGAGCTAAGCAGAGAAAGAAATGTGTAAAGGCTTTGGTATGACCCGGCCGGGGGTTGAACTCACGACCTCCCGGTTACAAAGCGAGCACTCTACCAATTGAGCTACAAATGTATATTGCACCGGCGCTATGAAAAAGCGTTGAATTTAGTGTAACGGAAATGATCGTCACAGTATATACTATATATAGGCGGAGCTTTGACTTTGATGCATGACATACATCTGAGAACGACGCTTTTATACACACAACACAAACTTGGGCTGTAGTTATCATAGATATGCAGTTCCAACAACAGATATTTAGAGTGATTACCCGATGCGTCGATGAAGGTTAGACATCCAGGTAATACGATACGCCAAAAAGCAGTTACTCAAGCAACTGGATATGATTTTGAAAGCGTCAGACGTTTCAGCTAGTATCCACTAGCTTTCGTCAGTGACTGAGAGACCAGAGGGGAAATGCAGGTTTATAAGCACAAACTATCGATTGATATGCAAACAAAGTGAAGACAATTTTTGGAAGTCGAAAAGGGAACAAAAGTTTTTACCCGATGTCTTTTTCGTGACAAAGCAACTATACGTGGCGCCAAAAGAGACCTACGGTGCTTCCAGATATATTTTCTGGTCCAGACCAGCCTCACTAACCTCCACTGTACCTACAGGATCATACACACAACCCTCAACCATGGGTTTTGGTTATCCCAGAGATACAGGTCGTGGGGTCATGTGGCGTAGCGATAGCGTCTTCGGCTCGGAACCAAGAGGTCCGGGGTACGAACTCCACCTTGTCACCGATCTTGTGCCTTTGCGAAAGACACTTTACACGATTTTCCTCACTTCACTCAGTCGTAAATGAGTGTACACAAAAAATGAGTACCTACAAACATGTACACAAAAAATGAGTACCTAGCTTCGGCTAGGGACGTCCCTCGGATAGAACGTTAAATGGATGTCCTGTGTTTGGGGAGAGCCACACCCTACGCACGTTAAAGAACCCACTACACCTTTCGAAAAAGAGTAGGGGCATGCCCCGGTGTGCGATGGTACAAATTCTTATTTGATTATCCAGCACTAATGGAGATACTGAACAAACAAACAAACAAACAAACAAACAAACAGGTATGTCTCTAACAAGAATTATGTAGAATGGTTACCTGGTGAGTGACAAAGCAATGAGATGTGGCACAAGAAGTGATCGGTGGTCCTGCCAGTAGTGTGTGACTGTTATGAATGAAACAGTGTATCTGGGGATGATTACAACAGAGTGGACAATTTTGTATACGGTAATTGACCTGACATTTTGCGTTCATTATACATTGACGTAAGAAACATACCAAAACGATTATAGGGGCCTGAATTAGGGCAATGAAATCGGTCAGGGATATCGGGTAAAACCAAATAATGTGCATGGAATTTCAAAGATTTGGACTCCACCTTGTTTGGAATAAATTGGTTCGTAAACTATCAAATAGAACAAAAAAGGAAATTAATTTTTCTCTTTTCTCCCCTTTCACACACAACTTGAGCACCACCAATCCGCATTTAAATATTTGTCCTCAAGTAACCGAGACAGAAATAGGATAAATTGTTACTTCCTTTTCCTGTACTTATTTGATTTGATTTGATTTATTGAAAAAAATTGCAACAGTACAATACACGTGGGACAAAGGCAGCTGTTGCTGGTGTTGTGTCCCACACATGGAAACAAATACAGTACAGACAATACTCATTTTAACTTGAGTTTAGTGGGGAAAGTCGTGTAAAGTACCTTTCCCAAGGGCACAAGATCGGTGGCATGTCAGGACTCGAACCCGGGACCTCTTGGTTCCGAGTCGAGCATGCTGCCGTTGCGCCACACAACCCCACATTGCTGTTGATATATTAATCCATAAACATTTTATAAAAAACAACAACATTTGTATAGTTTCTTTCTCTCATCGACATTTTTATCTTGTCTTCGTGGGAATTTTCTACAAAGCGTCATTTTCTTTTTAATGTCATTTTCCAGTACAAAAGATAAAAAGATACATGCACACAATATTTTTCTCAATATATTAATCATAACCTCACGTTCCAGAAACCTGGTAACAATGAGTTTGCGCCCACACAGTTGACGTGTATTTTCTAACAGCTATAATCAAAGTCTTTGAAGTCGGTTGCTACGCAATAAGAACTCGTGCACAACTATCTTTTTAAAAGTTAATAGGTACGTGCGCCAGTCGTTGATGATATACCATGTACTTTATCTGGGTATCAAAACATATCATCATGATCAGAGCATCGTCACTGCCTAGATGTACCTTTGAGGTCACATTGAGAGCATCGTGGAAAACAAATTTCAATGTCACTTGGAAGCATACAATACACCAGCAGCTATGGTTTCGATTATTATGATTTTTCGTAATTTGCTGCTCAGACATTTCAAAGGGCCAATTTTAGCATAATCCGAACACATTTTATGAAAAAAAGTTTTGCTATAGCCAGGGTGTCTTGTCACTTCGCAAAGAAGGTCAATGACCTCCGACGGAGTATTGTGGTTAGGCCACAGCAAGTAATTCTTATGGCTGACATCAGCGCGCGCATTGATTTTCGCCTGATTTTGAAAAAAAAAATACTTGTTGTCCTCTGACAATGGTCAGCATGCTGAAAATGGGCAAACATGTCTGTTGCCATACCGGAATGTAGATGGCAGATAACTATGAAGAGAGGAGAAAATACTATGCTCTGATTTATTGTTTTTATTGTTTTGTCTTTTACTTTGATGCAGTGATGTATTTATATTTCAGTCCATACCATGGTATGGATGAAATATATTGTGTTTCCTCATGTTTCTCCTCCTCCTTCTCCTCCTTCTCCTGCCAAACAGTCAGAGGGATTCAACTCCGCCATCATTCAACCAAATGACTAAAAATTTGGCATGGAGGTAGAGTGAGGAAATACCCCCAGACGTTTTTTTTATTTTTTTAAAACATGCATTTGAAAAATTTTATGAAGGTTTTTTGGGGCATTTTTCGACAAAAATTGGATTTTTGGATCCTGAGCCCTGGTATTACAACCAAATGATATGACATTCGGTATAAGGGTACCTTGAACGTGTGTCTACAGAATAGCAGTCACATATTTGGCATACATCACTTCCAAATAACTCATTTGGGGGACTTTAATGGCTATTTTCAGCAAAAAAAGGGCCAGAAGTGCTATACCCGTTCCATGTTCTATCTAAAGAATGGCCGGTTCCATCCATGGAACACGTGTTCCATTGCGGGTTACCTGAGGTCACATTGCACCTAAGTGGTGCGTAATGACCCACACATTCAATTTTATGTGCCTAAGACCTTCAAAATGTATCAAATCTCATCATTGTTAGTATTTGCATACCTGTAATAAAATTAGTAAAGCTTTCGAGATTCAAAGTACTTGTTGTTGCATCTTTGTTCTCATATAGCTACTATTTAATTCATTTATTTGAGAACCTTTGCCAGTTTTGCACTGGGGTAAGTTTGGAATAGTCCACTTTTGCGTGGGAGGGAGATGGACTGAAATATGCTGTATTTGCTCCCAAGCAAATGTCGGCCCCCTCTTGCGGTGCAGTCGGTATTCGGATGTTGTCCTCTAAAAATTTCAGGTAGGCACGGGGACGTGTCGTCTCAGTCGCAGCTAGGTACTCCTTGTAGGCGGCCTCCCGTTGCACTGGGGAGTCCCTGATCAGCCTCCCGACTTTTAGCATTGCCCTGGATACTAAACGAAGCCATGCAGGCCGAGAGATACTAATCCCTAAGCAGATTCTGTGGGGCAAGGTGACTTGGCGGCTAACATAAAGTTCCCTTGCCCCACCGAATCTGCTTGGAGATTAGAGAGATACTAAACTATTTGGAACATACATACTTTTGTAAGGCCTAAACTTTATAGTCTCCACCAGACTCCTTTGTAGGCTGAATAGATAGTAGAAATCGGCTGCGGGGGAAGTCATTGGCCAGAGGAGTTGGCCGGCCATAGAGGGTCCAGCTTGCCTGTGCATGCATGCTAATTTTAAAAAGTTATAGACCAGTTATACATTAACATTGCAGTAATAATAGAAATTGTTGATACTACACTGTACGTATAATTACATTTAATTTGTAACTCTACATGCTATTATTCTTAACAGGGTACCGGTGTCCTATGTGTCATCATTAATTGTGCTTCGTATATGGCATTTTGAACTTCAATGCTATGTTCAATGTCACCCTTGCTCCGCATTACAATACTAGTACCAAACGCCAAAAGTCGTTTACACGTTGACAGGTTTGTTTACTTCTGTGTACTTTTACGGGCGATGATAGCTGCGTTAGCTGTACTGAAAAGGATCTTATCATCCACGGATGACGAATTGCGCAGAAAAAACTCCAGGACTTTCGACCTCATCTTGGGGTGTGCGTATACATTCGACGTTTGCGTCAGCCAGTACGTCGAGAAGCAGTCTCCCCGCCTCCGAATGCTCCTTGAAGCACTCCGCCATGTTGACGTACTGCTCCTGCTCTTTGATGACGTAACTTTTATTATTATTATTATTATTATTATTTTACCACATTTGTGGAAGGATTGACATAACAAGTGACTATCACCTTTTCAAAGATGTCAACCCCGAGACCAGACTGTAAGGTTTGAACCACTCACACCGGGAAGGTCCCCTACTCTTTTCGGTAAGTGCGGTGGGTTCTTTAACGTGCGTGGGGTGTGGCTCTCCCAAACACGGGACCTCCATTTAACGTCCTATCCGAGGGACGTCCCTAGCCGAAGCTAAGTACTCATTTTCACCTGAGTGAAGTGAGGAAAGAAGTCGTGTAAAGTACCTTTCCCAAGGGTACAACGTCGGGGCGCATGTTCGGACTTGTTCGGGTACGACCCGGAATCGAACCCGGTTCTCCCCGTTTCATAGTCCAGTGATGTACCACTACACCACACGACGCCACTGATGACGTAACTGATGTCGAAGGAATCGAGCGAACGTGTGACATCACCAGAAGAGCGAATTGACGTCGTCAGACGATTGTTTCCATGTGGAAACCACTTCCATGTTTCATGCTGCAGTTTTCCCGTGCCTCTTTTGTCTGAAAATATACAAATGTGCATAGTTCGCAGAACTGTTAACAAGCAGATCTTGAACATTTAATCAATGATTGGAACTTCCAATCATTGCTTGAATGTTCTAGATAATTAAGAAGTGTTAGTTTGTTCCGGGACCCCCCCCCCCCAACTGTATCGTTATAAGTTTATTCTCTACTAGACTAAATGTAACGACGCTAGTTTAAAAACAGTAAACATAAGCCAGAATTGTCAACGTATACGTAGAGTTCATTTAACCGCGCCGTTATGGAAATTAATCTTCCAGGGGACTAACCCTGATTATATCCTGATTTTCTCAGAATAACTTTTACGCCAGGTTCACATTAATAAAATCCCATCGTGTTACTTGTTTATGTATTGTTTATTTCAGGCTCAATGGCCCATAGCACAGACAGACAACATTACACAAACACATCTAAAAATAAAACATCCTAAGTGTAAGATGTAAAATTCAACGATACGCTCAATCCAGGCATATCTGGCTCTAACCAAGCCTTAAATTTGTAAGATTTTTCCCGGTATTTTCTGTTACATATTTTGTAACGTTTGCTGCTTACATGGTATTTAGTTTGGGATTGAAAAAGTTAAGCGAAACAAAATATCAGAAAGAAAATACATAAGCTTAACACTAATTAGATGACAACCTTTACTGTTGAATTTTGCATTTATTGGTAATGATACAGGTCATTACTTAGATAAATGTAGTCAGCTGGTGATAGGTATTATAATAGAAAAAGCTGCAATAAAAGCTGTGGTGATTTTTTTATAGGTATTATAATAGAAAAAGCTGTGGTGATTTTTGTCTTTACATAATAAGTGATAGGAGTATGAAATAATATATTAGTAAGAAATTGTAGATGTCACTGATATGTATGAGTATCTAAAGAATAAACAATGGTGTTCCTCTTACGCAATGTCGTGTCATCTTTGCGTATCAGTGAGTGTTAGTACTGTTACAGCTTTCTCAAACTTTTACATAAATATTGATATCTCATGTTAGTTTACTAATTTGGTTATCTCAGATATCCAAACTGCTTTTTTTTTTAAACGAGACCTTTAATTCACCCTTAAACAAAGAAAAATGGGCATGCCATACTGATTTCCGAAAGCAGTTGCATCAGGTTGGTAGATTATATTACGTGGCCACTTTTGCGGCGAGAACACAATCCCTAATGTGGCAACAGGAGAATCCGATGGACTAAAGAAGCAGTCTAGATAAGGAAATCCACCGCAGTGATGAATAAAGTGAAGTCAGGATATATGATGAGGCGACTGTTAGTTAACTTGAGTAAATGACTAGCCTAGTACCCACTGTGTACTTGTCAACATTTCTGGGATGAGGCTAAGTGAAACATTACAAGCAAATGTTCATCATCTTTTTTTTTCAACAGGTATCGCTCAATGCAAGGCCAGTTATATTTGGCCACTTCTAGGCATAGAGCTAGAGGTACTTCAGGGAGTATAATGTAGCTATGTCAGGAGATGGCGGTGGACCTTTGTTTTGAAGCTTTGTGGATTGTAATCGGACGGAAAGCAGCTGTTTGGAAGAGAGTTCCATAATTTTGCAGTCCGGGGAAAGAAGCTGTTGTTGTAATATGACTTGGAGACAGGTATGTTGACGGTGTATTGATGAGAACTGGAAGAGAAGCTAGTGGCACGCTGAAAGGTTCAGAGTGGCGGAACAAGAAGTGCAAGTTCTCCTGAACATCGACCGTGAAATTATCTGTAGAAGAGGGATAGGGATGCGACATTGCGTCTGTGTGAGAGGGAATCCAGCTTTGCGGCCAGGGAATGGCCGATGGCAACACAGATTCTCCTTTGAATGCGGTCTAAAATATGTAAGCAATCTTTTGAGGCAGCAGCCCAAAGATGCGAGCAATACTCCATGACGGATGGTGGATTTGTACAGATACTTGCTTGTTCTGTTGTACTAATTATCTCATACATAGACTTAAATGCCCTCTCAATCATGTGCAACTTTGTAGCCAAAGGATTATAAAAGTACATTGCCTTTTAGTTAGGTAATTGGTGTTTACTATTGATGATTCTGGTTAGGGCTGGGCAAAGCCCCTAAATATAAGTTGCAGTACTTCTGTCAACCGCAGCGTGTCTCTTTTGAACCGTGCGTGAGGTGACAGCGTCCTACTGACCGGTCCAACAGGTAGTGACCTCGCCTCTCCCGGTTTGCCTGGCACATGTCATTATTATTTAGGTCAATGTACGCAACTGGTGATGTTATAGAAAAAGCTAGGAACGGTGTGGTATTTTTCTGTCTTTACATTATAAATCATGTGAGTATGACATAATCAAAGAAATTGTAGACTTTGACAAATTATATTTCAGTCTTGTTTTAAGTAAACCACTATTGCTAGACCTACGCTATACATTATTACATGTTAGGGCTGGGCAAAGTCCCTAAATATAAATTGCAGTACTTCTGCCAACCGCAGCGTGTCTCTTTTGAACCGTGCGTGAGGTGACAGCGTCCTACTGACCGGTCCAACAGGTAGTGACCTCGCCTCTCCCGGTTTGCCTGGCACATGTCATTATTATTTAGGTCAATGTACGCAACTGGTGATGTTATAGAAAAAGCTAGGAACGGTGTGGTATTTTTCTGTCTTTACATTATAAATCATGTGAGTATGACATAATCAAAGAAATTGTAGACTTTGACAAATTATATTTCAGTCTTGTTTTAAGTAAACCACTATTGCTAGACCTACGCTATACATTATTACATGTTAGGGCTGGGCAAAGTCCCTAAATATAAATTGCAGTACTTCTGCCAACCGCAGCGTGTCTCTTTTGAACCGTGCGTGAGGTGACAGCGTCCTACTGACCGGTCCAACAGGTAGTGACCTCGCCTCTCCCGGTTTGCCTGCAGGCGGTGACAACCCAACCTGAGACACAACAAACGGGGGACAGTCTTAGATGCTGCTTCTTTCATAGTTCCTTCAAGACGTCTTCATTTTCTATACATTCTAGGCAATGGAAAAATACTCTGATTACTTTGCGTTGTTTAAACCGTTAAAAAACCTTCTAGATTGAGAATAGAGTTGACCCTTTATTTTTGACCCTGTCAATATTTCGATGGCCCCCAGGATATGGCACGTCAACACAAAATGGCTTTTCCCACCTGGCTTCTCTTGTTGCTAACGCAGCCGACGCGTTTGGAAGTTGCTGTTCGGCTCTCGGCAATCTTCGGGTAACTTCGGCATCCGCTCGTATAGCTCTGTGGAATGTGGAAAGGGCGTCTTGTGTTAACCGGACTGACCACTTCGTCACCTCACCTGTGGGCAGCCAGGTCATCCAGGTGAGGCTTGGGTTAAAAATTCTCTCAAAAGGTCTTGTCAGACATTTCTTAAGAATTTTCCGCAAGGTTTCTCGAAGATGTCATCCAAGAAGTTGCTTCCAAACAGCGAGGCAGCACCGGAAGGCTCTGTAGGTCGCCATGGAAACCAGCGAACCTTAGGAATCGTCCTGGCGCTGTCAGGACTCGCGGCTGTGGCGAGTGTCGTCACCCTTCTGTTCGTGGGGCGGGAGCTTACGTTCCTACGGGCCCAACAAGAAGCACTACATAGGGATCTCCGAGACCAACAAGAAAAAGACCATGACCAGCTGGTGCTACTGCGCAGCCAGCTTCAGGACCTGATGCAAGGGAAGCATGAGCTGGGAGCTAAGGTAGGGAAGAATCTTTTTTTAGAGAAAATTTAGGTCGTCGCGATCCCTTTGTCTTCTCTATACACACAGTTACCTAACTCTCGAGCGAGAGATACTGAAACGTGTGGGTACTGAAACAAGGTTTTAACTCAATACCAAACTTAAAAGGACACAAGCCATTCGATTAAATCTGTCATTACACCATGCATGGCATGTCTGATATGTGATTTCTACACTTAGTTCGTTAGTTCATCGTAGTTTAGAGCGCTACCGGTCGTTTGAAGTTGGGGCTAGCGCCTAGCGTTCACAAACTGGCCGCCGCCATACCTTCACAATTATGTAATCGTGAAGTTCTTAAAAGAACTAGGTCAACGTTCGGGCGTTCGCGCGTTCGATGCAATTCGATCTCGCTACGTTCTCTCTTTTTTGTATTCAATCGAATGTCTTGTGTCCCTTTAAAAGTTTGGTATTGAGAGTATGTATATATAGGTACGCAGAGAGCACAACGTTTGCGACATGGTGTCATTTTTGAAATCTCCATTTCCTCATGACGTATGACGAAAGGCCAAATTGGTCGTCTGACATTTAGAGAGAGGGGCGTGACGTCAGCGTATAGCCTCAGTACCAGGCTCTGTGGAGGGCGTCTTCATGTTGTCACATGCTGTTGGACTTAATCTCAAAGCAGATCCTGTGGTGGCAAGGCAGTATCCAATTGGCAAAACAGTGTCCAATAGCCACCGAAGTTTTGCTTGGTCGATTGGATACTGGTTTGCTACCGTGGGATCTGTTTGGAGATTAGACGGACTATTGTCCGAGACTAGTGATGTATAAAACAGGGCCCAGAAGGACACGGTAGCCTCAGAAAAAAGCACGTTGTCAGCCAAAACATGACGAGAAGAGACAGGTTTTTTTCTAAGCTGTGTTTTTATCCACTTGATACGAGTAGAAAGTTCGAATCTGCTTCTTTTTTATAACAGTTAATATGATTTGTTGTTAATTTTCCATTTTGCTTTTAGACATTGATATGCAAATTCAGTTCCATTATTGTTTATATCATTTGTCATATTTATTTTGTATGTTTTATGTACTTTATTAGTCTGTTTCCGTTTCTTTTATCATTATTATTTGATTGTACTTAAGTTACCTTTTATTATGTTATGTATGTCACAGGTAGCTTTGAAAAGCGCCAAAATGGCGATATGCTGACCTGTATAAATAAATAAAAAAAAAAGTTATATAAAGAGCAACATTTTATTGAATAAATAAATTTTTGATCCAATCTATTTGCACACATACTTGATAAACGAAAGTTTCTGCCTGGTACACCAGTGTTGCAGTGAGAGGCCGACTCCCTCCCCAGAGGCTGCGACTTCCCCGAGACCCACATCCACTTCCCCTCGTGATGCAGGAACTACAGCAGCCCCGAGACGCACACAAGTCACTGCAGCCACTTCTACAGAGCCAGATGGAGGTGCACAAGGTAAGAATCCCGGCATTTTGTGATCTCTGTTGCATGCCCGTAGCCAGAGGGGGTTCGGGGGTTCGGACCTTTGAGCCCCCCACTAGGCTCAAAGGTCCACTTTTTGGTCCACTTGTTATGTAAAGGTCCACTTTTTGGTCCACATTTTATGTGAAGGTCCCCTTTTTGGTCCACATTTTATGTAAAGGTCCCCTTTTTGGTCCACATTTTATGTAAAGGTACAAGATTTTTCTTGAAAAGATGGACTGGAATCGTAGGAAAACTGCTCCCTTTGTCACTGAATAAAAAATTATCTCTAATTTTTTCTTGGAAATCCTTTCAAAAATGCAGGAAATGCCATTTTAGAAGGTTCAATTTTCAAAATTTTCCGGGGGGCATACCCTAGGAACCTCGCGCTCGAGGTCCCCTCAAGCAGTGGGACCCCCCCCCCTTCAAAATCCTGGCTACTGGCATGTGTTGAATATACCATATTTCACTTGACTTCATGAATTCACCCTGACTTCAAATAAGGCCCAAAATGCTGACTCTCCGAATCTGAATTTATTGCCTGTGCCAATGATAAATAATTCTGTGCCTCCCTATTAGGCCATGTTGATTTGATTATATGGATGACATCCGCGCGCGCATGAATTTTCAGCCGTTTCCCAAAAAAAAAAAATTTCAACCACACTGTAAATCGTACAAAACAGTTTCAAAATGAGCAAAAATATACCATAAGTTACAAAAAAATTAATAAAAACTATACCAATGTCGTAGAATGCCAAAATCAAACGAAAAAAGACGAAATTGTAAAGAAATGAACTTGAAGACTAGATTATTCGCCAAACCATATTCTGTGCCATTTGCTCAACCCTCATGACCACGTAGATTTCATAATGAAAAGAACTTTTTTTTGCAAAACTTTTTTTTATTCGCACGCGCGCATCAGTTTTGGGGCTCCCGGAGGATGTCATCCATATAATCAAATCACCACGGCCTTATGAACCAAACTGTGCCTTTCTCTTATTCCTTTTCCCACCCAGCGTCAGACTGCGCAGAACTCTATGCGGCAGGACAGACTACAAGCGGAGTCTACAACATTAGACTCGGCTCCTCTAATGTAGAGACCTACTGTGACATGGATACCGCAGGTACCGCGTGTGGATCTGTCATTTATGTATATATACTGACGGATCGCTTATTTTAAACGTTTAATTCCTTTCTTTTACTTCAGATATTTAATTAATTTGTGTCTGAGGGTTTTCAGGAGTTGGTGTCGGGTTCATTGTCAAGGTACTGTATATGATTGAAGTAATAATATTATATCGTTTTCCTTGTGGTGCCTTCCACACAGGGGGTGGTTGGACCGTGATCCAACGTCGGCAGGATGGGTCGGTTCCCTTCAACCGGACCTGGGAGGAGTACAAGCACGGGTTTGGGAACAAGAGCGGGGAATACTGGCTTGGGAACGAGAACATCCACCTCCTGACCAATCAGAAGAACTACACCCTCAGGGTGGACCTGCAGGATTGGGGCGGACAGACCCGGTACGCAACGTACTCCAGTTTCAGGTGAGGAATTAATAAACACCTACAGGTAAATTAAAATTATTTGCAACTTAATGTATTTAATTAAATAAAGCTTGCCGTTACATATGCATGTTCTTCATGTGGGCATTTTATTGCGATATAGGCCGTGTCTATACGGAATCACCCAAACCGCGATTCGGGTACTCACATTCCTCACATCTGGTCCACGTGCCACACACACCTGTGAAACCGTGTCCGAACATAATGCGCTTGAGCTACATTTATTGCTGTTTGATGATAAGACGCAAGGCGGCGTGTTATCAATGTCAGAGGTCAACGACCTGCTTGCTGATGCCCCCCTCCCAGCGTATCTCGGCCAAATGCCGACGTGGTCCCGCCAGCTAGAGGCGGTGAAACTCGCCCTAGAACGGACACATTATTTGACCATTACTGCTCTTTAAGTTGCTGCCACGTAAAAGTTGGTATTGCATATAAAAAAAAGAAATATCACTCCGTAATCCATGACCAGGCGAAGTCAAATTGAAATCACATTGCGTTCAGACGCAAATCGCGATGCGGGGAAACCGATTCGAAACCACCTCTAGAAGTGGCTTGGGATCGAGGCGCTTTCAATGTGATTTCGGAGCGTTCACATGGAGCCACTTGAAACCGGCTTCGGGGTAAATCACATGTAAACCGCCTTGGGTGATTCCGTTTAGACACGGCCATAGACAATGTAGCGTATGCTTGTGTGTGTTAGTGTCTGTGCGCCTCTGTATGCGTATGTCGGTGTGTGTATGTGTGTGTCTATGTGTGTTTATGTATGTACGGATATGTGGTTTCTTTTGCGTGTCTATGTACTTGTGTGCTTAATAAATGTGTCTGTTTCTGCAAGTATGACAGTAGGTATGTGTGTAAAAATGTTAATTTATTCGGTCTGTGTGTGTGTGTGTGTGTGTGTGTGTCCATGTGCGAATGTGTGGCCAAAATAGATACGAACGTAATTTATCATTCACAGGATCGAAGTGGGTTTTTTAATAGTTTAATGTCCCCATCCAGGGTGTCCGGTGAGTCGGACCAGTACCGGCTGCGCATTTCCGGGTATTCAGGCACCGCGGGAGACTCCATGAGGTACAACAACGGGATGATGTTCTCCACTGTGGACAGGGACAATGATGCCATCAACAACTACCACTGTTCTCAGCGTAACGGACAAGGCGGCTGGTGGTTTAGGGGCTGTGGCTACTCCTTCCTCAACGGCCGCTACCTGGGCAACTGCGGGAGCTCCTGTCCAGCCGCGAAAGGTGTGGTGTGGTTCCGCTGGAGAGGCTATAGTTACTCCCTGAAGTCTGTAACTATGAAAATCAGGCCATGAACAATTACGCGCATTAATTTTCGTCTGATTTTGGAAAAAAAAGAAATTTTGTTGCCTTCTGACAAGGATCACCATGCCGAAAATGTGCAAAGATGTCTGTTGACAAGCCGGAAGGTGTATGGCAGATAACTATAAAGAGAGGAGACAAGAAAAGGCTCTGATTTAATGTTTTGTTTCTTACTTTGATGCAGTGATATGTGATGTTGGCTGTGTATATGTGATGGTCCCAATGAATCAAAACCTTTTATACAATGATTGAGTCAAAATTTTAAAATGTAGTAACCTTGTTTTTTTCGGCCCACCTTGTTTTTTTTCGCCCGCTCGCATTAGATTTGGAGTCTGTGGAGGATGTCATCCATAAAATTTACTTGCTGTGGCCTAATATATAGATCAAAGGCCCTTAATGGCCTATTTGGCGTCGGGTGACGTAGTGGTAGAGCGTTCGACTATGAAACGGCGAGACCCGGGTTCGATCCCGAGGCGAACATCCCAAAGCGAAGGGTCGAGAAGCCCCACAAGTTTCATCCCGCTCTGTTTGCATTTTCACATCTATTTGAGGAGGAATTTCAGAAACTTAGAAACGGGCGTAAATAAGTCTGTTACCTGTTCCAAAATTTTCACATAAAATCACATAATCATCTAGGACATAGGCAAATGCGAAATTATCTGAAGCACTTTCACATAAAATAACATTCTGACCTGTTATGTGAGAAATGTGATTTAAGCTTAATTTTACATTTAACTCCTTACAGTTAGTTTGCAGGGTAAAACTGTAAAACTTCTTCACATTTTTTCACATTTTGAATTCACATTTTTTGGTGACGTTTTCAGGTTGTGTGATTTCACATATTCGATTCACATTTTTCAAACGGTCACATTGTTTCACATAAAATAACATTTGATGATTCACAGTTTGAAAAAAATTGTGAAACCCAAATTTTGGGTTTACATATTTCTGTTGGGATTCACATTACGTCACACTTTTTCACATTTTTCACATTGCACGAAATTCATGTAATTTTCACATTTATGCACCTGGTAGTGTATGTACCAGTTTCACTCCCCCACCCACCCCCTCCCTACACAACTGAATCATAATCGTTATCTTGTTATCTCTGTGGATTGGCCAAATTCACGCTAAAGGTGTTAAATTTATTATTTTAATGCTCTTACGTCCGGGTTAAAGCCGCATTGGGACCAAGAGCGCACTCCAAGTTTTTTGTGATATAATCATTCTACCCAGGGTTTACTTCTTATACTGATTGATAGCACTTAACGCGCTGTAGACAGGGAAAAGCGGATTATAGAGAGAGAAGAAATGAAATATGCAATGTGATTATCATATCACATCTGTCTAAAGTCAATTTAAGGTATACATGTATTACCAACAACAATCGATACCATGCGAATTTTGAACTTGATTTCTTGATTCTCAATTGAATCAAGTGTCCCTAAACCGCAGGCACTTTGTAGCGCTTTACTCAGAGGCAGTAATACTAATTACCTCCGTGAAAAATGGAGGTATTGTTTTTGGTGCGTCTGTCTGTGTGTGCGTGTGTGTGTGTTTCCGCACATTTGTTGTCAGCATAACTTCATAACGCCTTTATGGATTGTCTTAGTCTTAGGAAGCCGAAGGTCAAGGTCAAATATGGGATTCCTGGTGGCTCACCTTGGTACTGCAGCAGAACTTTTGTATTTTGAGGGAAAACAGATGTGCCGGTGGATGTACCGTGTAAAAACATTTACAAAAACTCATATATTTCATGGAGGTTTGAGATCTCCGAATTCTTGTTTCGTTTCTTAGGGTGGGCTGGGAGGGGAAATATTTATATTGATGAACAGATTTTCACCGTTGCGTGCACCAAAGGAACATCCGATCTCAGAGCACATACAGTTCAGACTAATTGGCCACTAATGCACCGGACGAAAAGCTAGATTTTCCTCGCGCAGCTTTAATACAAGAAAGAAACTCGCTTGGAACACATGTTATGAGAACTGTGTTCAGTCCCCTAGCATAGGACAAGCTTAAAAAATAATATGTGTCCAGAACTGTGTGCGGTCAGACACGGTTCTGGATAGTCCCCTGCGTGTCTCAGAATGTAGATATGCCCCGGGCACGGTTTGGGACACAACAGCAGGTGCAACAAGACAAGTGTTAGTTGCAGTCCAGAGGTTCTCCGACTCAGACGTAGTCCAGCGTACAGTAGCATCTTATCCGTGTGAAGAAAAAACGTAAGTACACATCTGTGTGCAGCATCGTACGGTGGCCCTTAAGTACAAACATGCGTGTCTGCGCGAATACCTTCCACGTCTGCTCGAATACCTTCCACGTCTGCGCGAATACCTTCCACGTCTGCGCGAATACCTTCCACGTCCGCGCGATTACCTTCC